AAAACTTAAAAGTTTTGATTTGGTAATAAATAAAACTACCCACATTTTGAAAATGTCTCTAAATTTTTACTTTTCTCTGCGATTTTTCCAAATTTTAAGATTTAACTGAATTATAAATTTCACTAAAGCCTTTTATAATATATTTCCTGTTTTTAAAATCCGTCACAGATAATGAAATGTTGGACTTTTCTAAATTTCTTGATTTTTCTGGATGGCCTGTAGTTAATTTGTCAAAATTTTGAACTTTAAACACTTCACTGAAGTGTCGAAACAGAATAATACTAGTGACAGATTTAAAAAATCACACTGAATTGAGGCTAAAATCACTGTCTGAGTATAGCTTATAACATGTAAGTCCTCTGACGTATTAACCTCTTCAAGCTCTGATATTTATATTTTTTGACAGTGTGTCTTTGACTTCTCTTTTTCTTCCCCTGTATAAGTAACCAACAATGTCATTTCAGTGAAGGTTATGTTTCTAACATCTTATCATCTACCCTTAATAATTTTCTCTTTTTTCCTGTCAGTCATGATTTGAAGATTTGACGTTTCAACAACGTGCCAAATTTCTTCAGTCATATAAACATGAAAATAAAAAATTTCTAACGAATGACGCACAGGCATCCAACATTATTGTAGATTTGACAGGTTTATTGCAAAGTGGACCAAGTTTAAATGAGGGTTCTTGTTACTGAATTTTGTCTACGACTTTAATCATTTTTATTTCTACGGCTTAATCAGAAATAAGTTTGTTGGTAGTACTTTTTAAATAAAAATGTGAACTTTTCTTGCGTTTATGTTGGCACAACGAAAGTAATTATGTGACAGATATGTGAATCGCGACATGCAATAAATTTAGATTATTTTTGGATACATTTTACAAATCAAAAATGTCAACAATCTGTCAATCTTAACAGCTGATAACCGAGAATTGTAGAAAACATCATGGTACCAATTTTAACTAAAAATCCAGGATTGCCAATAGACGCAGTTATTTCTGATCACGCGTTATTTAGTGTTTGTAGTAACTCATCAAAGTCACAGAAAAAATTTAATTACAAAAAGTGGATTCGCAAAGTTAATTTGTCAAAATTTTGAAGCTTTAAACACTTCACTGAAGTGTCAAAACAGAATAATACTAGTGACAGATTTAAAAAATCACACTGAATTGTGACTAAAATCACTGTTGTGATAACCCAAACTTCCCGCCTTAAAATTTGACCTTGAAACAGTTTGAAAGGCCCGCGAAAAATTCAAAAATTCAAAGTTTGGCCTTGGCTATGATCGTCTAACAAATGAGAACCTACGTTGTGAGTTTTTTTTTTTTTTTGAAAAATGGCGGGAAGAAGTTCTTTCATACAAGTGCATACACTGTCGAGAGCGCAAGAAATAATAGACAAAATTAGGAGCCTTCCTAAGGAGGAAAAAGAAACGAAGAACGACAGACGCTCGATTTGCCCTTCTGGCGAGTCCGCAGGGCCAAGGCATCATCGGTCTTCATTCCCCAAAACCCCCTGGGGTTTTATTCACCGACATATTACATGTCAGACACCTTAAGATATGTGAAAGAAAAACACTCGCGAATTGACAGACATACACATACGAAAACCGAACAAATACAAGACCTACACATATGTAAATTGGATGGCAGAACCCGAATCATTATGAGAGTGTGGCGATCGAACAAAACATAAAACAAAATATATCAATTTCATTTACGAGCACAGCAAAATACCCAGAGGGGGCGTTGTAGCGCAAGTGGAGGTTGGGACTCCTGATCATCACTGTTCTCCCTCACGACGGTGATTCTATCTACACCAACGCCTGCTCACACGCATCTCTCCATTACGAACGTGCCCTGCGAAACGAGGCGGTTACGATCGCAGATCCGTAGTGGGGTCCCGGCTATCACGAAACCGGCAGCGTTAAAAACCCGCGATCGCCCCCTGAAGCTATACAAAACCCGCGGACTTGTGCAGGTGACGCGATTAATCCCGTCAGTTTGAGAAGGAGTCGCGCGCCCCACGTACACTACGAGTTATGTGTCATTTACCTTTAATTTCATTTAAATGTTCAAACTCTATGACTCTAACATTAAATGACAACCGAACAAGCGTTAAAGTTTCAACAAAGAGCAATACACAACATTTAAATTCGCCACACACTCTTACGAAAATTCAACAACAAATGATTCTTAATTGAGATTAAATTTGGACATCAGATAATTTACATGATAGAAATATTCATCAACAAAATATTTACATGATCAAAACTTAGCAAAGATTTATAAAACAAAGATCTGGTATGAAATAAGCTTGTGCAAATAAAATATCATGTTAGGTCAAAACTGCAGAGCATGGAAATTTACGTTCAATTCAAATTATATAGCAAAGAAAATTACTGAAACTGAAATTGTGAGACAAAGACAAATTGCATGAGGTGAAAGATTGTAGAGTTAACAGATTTACATGTGATTAATATTAATTCGTGTCCAGTCAAGTTATTGGTTAAAATTCAAACGTGAAATTATTTAGCTGCATTGTGGGCCATTATTACACATACATTTCCCCAAACAAAACACATAAACAAACATGGCAGACAATCTGCAGTTGCAAAATGGCGTTGGACGAATTCGTCATTCCAAATAATAGGCGTCGAAAATATGCGATGCAAAAATACGATGAATCCTGTGGCGTTGTATAAACGATGGGCTAAATAAAAGGAATAGAAGGCACGTCCCCCCATGACCCACAATGTTTGTTAATTTGTTCAATAGATTCAGTTAAAACATGTGCTCGATTAAAAGAAAAACAAAATGGACGCTTCAAAATGGCCGCTGCCTGAACAAAGAACGGTGAAAATAACAACTCGTTTGCCGCCATCCAAAATACAGATTTCACAAATATAGCTAAATAAAGCATGGCCCGAACTAGAAATCACTTCCTGTAAAGCCCTACTGCGATGGATTTTAAATGAAAGATAAAAAAACGAGATTAGTGGAAAAAAGCGCACGCGTCGATGTCACGAGGCCAGAAGCATCGTCGGGGCTTGAAATTCGCCGCCAAACAGGTGTTCAAAACATACCTCTCCAAAGATGCGAAGATTTCGACACGGCTTACCGCCAACAGGAACACAAAAACCTCGTCGTAAGAACGATGCGAAATCAGGAACACCCAATGGCTCAACGGGCTGCTAGATTTTCCAATGGAACAGATCAACACTGGAAAAACAAAACACAACAGCAAAAGGCACAGAATAATTCACAATTAAAAATACAACCTGTTGCTCGAAGCGCTCGGAAAGAAGTCGACCGTTCTCTCCAAGCGATCAAAGCGAAGTGACCGTTTTTCAAGACAATACCACCTTCGCTTTGCGCACGTCTGTTTCCTTGGGGTGGTTGGTTGCCAACCTCTCCTTCTTCTCACTAACCGTTTCTTGTGCGCGCGGAATTCATTTGAAATTTAAAAATTCGAATTGGATCCTTACACTGTTTACACCCAAACAGTGATTTTAGCCACATTTTTGACAATGTGACTTTGACTTCTCTTTTTCTCCCCTGTGCAAGTAACAACCAACAAGGTCATTTCAGTGAAGGTTATGCTTCTAACATCTTAACATCTTCCCTTAATAATTTTCTCTTTTTCCTGTCAGTCATGATTTGAAGATTTGACGTTTCAACAACGTACCAAATTTCTTCAGTCATACAAACATGAAAATAAAAAATATCTAACGAATGACGCACAGGCATCCAACATTATTGTAGATTTGACAGGTTTATTGCAAAGTGGACTAAGTTGAAATGTCACTTCTTGTTACTGAATTTTGTCTACGACTTTAATCATTTTTATTTCTACTGCTTAATCAGAAATAAGTGTGTTGGTAGTACTTTTTAAATAAAAATTGAACCTTTCTTGCGTTTATGTTGGCACAACGGAAGTAATTATGTGGCAGATATGTCAATCGCGACATGCGATAAATTTAGGTTATATTTTGGATACATTTTGCAAATAAAAAATGTCAACAATCTGTCAATCTTGACAGCTGATAACCGAGAGTTGTAGAAAACATCATGGTACCAATTTTAACTAAAAATCCAGGATTGCCAATAGACGCAATCATTTCTGATTACGCGTTATTTAATCACAGAGAAAATTTAATTACAAAAAGTGGATTCGCAAAATTTTGAAACTTTAAACAATTCACTGAAGTGTCAAAACAGAATAACACTAGTGACAGATTTAAAAAATCACACTGAATTGTGGCTAAAATCACTGTTTACACCCAAACAGTGATTTTAGCCACATTTTTGACAATGTGACTTTGACTTCTCTTTTTCTTCCCCTGTGCAAGTAACAACCAACAAGGTCATTTCAGTAAAGGTTATGCTTCTAACATCTTAACATCTTCCCTTAATACTTTTCTCTTGTTCCTGTCAGTCATGATTTGAAAATTTGACATTTCAACAACGTGCCAAATTTTTTCAGTCATATAAACATGAAAATAAAAAATATCTAACGAATGACGCACAGGCATCCAACATTATTGTACATTGACAGGTTTATTGCAAAGTGGACTAAGTTTAAATGACGTTTCTTCTTGCTAAATTTTGTCTACGACTTTACTAATTGTTATTTCTACTGTCATTTTGAATAAAAATTGTAGTGTTTAATAAATTTTATAATAATAAACCTCCAGAGATTTTACTTTAGCGCCGCCTCTGTTAATTGAGCGTCTGTCAAGACTCGGATCAGTAGCGGCGGGTACCTTACCAGAAAATAACAAAAATAACATTATTATCCAAATTTTAGCAACCAATTAAAATCGTCACAAAATATACTTTCAAAAGTATCTATAATATTTGTAAAGTAAGTATATAATAGAGATCGTGTTCAAATTTTTGGTTTTAGATTTACATATACAAACGTCATCTACGCCAATGACCTGACGGAAATGACGTTTCCGAGTGTCTCCTTATTCCAGTGTCGTACGTGGCCAAAATCGACCAAAACCTTAGTCAGACGCCCATTTCGCACAGAAGCAGCCCACGCGACCGCCCCTCGTTAAAAAAACAGAATCCGGAAACGGCAAAAAAAAAAACCGCAAAAAAGCATGTTGGCAGTTCGGCGGTTGGTTGCATTGCAACCCAGCGCTGCCAACCCGACCCCCCCAAAATCCTGTTTATATCAGGCCCGGTTATGAAATGGCGGATGGCGTTTTATTGTCAAAGAAATAGTGTTGTCCATCGCCGAGCTTGAAGCCCCCAGCGCCGCCAAGCCGTAAATGAACTTGGAGCCGTCGCCCCCCGAGCCCCCAGTGCCGTCGTGACCGTCCCGCGCGCCAAAGTCTCTCATAATATGGGGTGAATCCTCCAGAGCCCGGTCGAGTCAAAGCCCGAACGTCGCAAGCCTTTATGTCCTCAGCTGGTGAGTTACGTGATGGAAATAGACGTCACGCCCGAGGCGAACTCCGAGAAAAGCGACGGCGCTTCGAGTCAGGGCGAGGAGGAAAATGCCGAGAAAGCCGACAAGGGGCCCCCCGAGCCCAAGAGCAAGAAGGCCATCAAGCACGCGCTGCGCCAGCAGGCGAAGCGTAGGCGCAAGAACACGACCATCGCCTCCGGCAACTCGTCGACGGTGCCGCGGATCATCGTGAAGCCGCTGCCCCCGCAGCCCCCGGAGGAGGCGCCGCCGACGGCCGTCAAGGCGCCCACGATGCGGGAGGTGCTGGCGTCGATTCCCGGCTTCACCATGAAGCCTCGCAGGCGCACCAACAAGAAGCTGTCCACGGCGGCCCAGCTGGAGCAGACGAAGGAGGGCTGCATCGACCTCGAGACTCCGGACTCGATTCTCGTCAACACGAACTTGAGACTGTTGTTGAATAAAGCGACGTTCGCCTCTCTACCGCTGTTGTATCAGAATAAACTAGTGCAATTATTACCCGATGTCGATAGGAATAGTGTGACAAACTCTGCGGACTCGTTAGAACTGAGCAATTCGGGGTTGAACAACGAATTCTTCGCGAGGGCTTGTTTGGAGTGGCAGGACAGGTTGGTTTTTCACTGTTAAAGTTGGGGGGCGTCAGGAAATTTCGTTGTGTTGCTTAAATTATGTGTGTTTTCGTACTCATTTTTATGATTTATTTTTTCGTGGAAATTGGTTATTGGAAAGGTGAAAGTTTAAGATGAATTCTTAGAAATTATTATAAAAGGCATTTACTTCAGTTTACAAGGATAACGTCATCTGCAAAAAAAATTGTTTTGGTATTTTGTTTATGTTTTCCTGGAATTGACACATCACAGAATCCATTCAAGATTTTTTTTACGAGATAATTAATTTGTAACAAAATTGGAACGGTGCCGTAAAAGATAAATTGGGTTATGTGAGAATTTTTGTCGAAGTATTTGCTATTAAAAAAAGGGGGAATTAGAGTTAGCTGCGTTGTAAAAACTTCAAATGGCAATATTGTGATAGTGTTTTGAGGTTAAAGTATTATCTTTTTTAACCATTGTGTCATAAACTCATTGAAAACCACGTTTTTATTTGTAACGTGTGCTCAATGTAAACAGTTTTTTAATGAGTTTTATTTTATTAATTCTTTTTTTTTAGTGTTACGTAAAATGTTCGTTCCATCGATTGATCTATTGATATGTCAAGATTATTTTTTTTAAATAACAAATAATTCATTTAAGAAAGATGCATTTATGCTGATAAGGTTATAGATGTAATCTTTAAATTTAATTTGTGTTCAAGGTATCAACAAGGCAACAAAGTTTAAAATGTATTTTGTACGTCATAGCACTGACATTTCCTGCTAAGTCAGGAATGAGATATCTTTTTGTCAGGTTGGCAAGATATTTTTTTTATTTTATGATGGTATACGTGACGTAAAATTGAAATTTTTGGACATTGGCTGCCGTTTTCTCATTTTTTTTTTTAGGTGCGCAAGTGTCAAAATTGATAATCTGAAATGACATGCTATCATTGCTGCCAATGACTCAAAATTGCCAACTCAAAAATTTACTCCGATTATTAATAGTCACCTGGTATTTGTTAATTTCTTTTCCTAAGAATATATTCAAATTGAAACATCAAAAATTGAAAAAAAAGAGCATTGAAAGATTTAAAAATTGATAACACGGGAAATTAAAATATCTAGAAACTGCAAAACCTAAAAATTTAAAAACGAAAAATTAAAAGTGGAAATTAAAAAGCGAAAATTTGAGAAATCGAAAAATTGAAATACATATCTAAAAAATTATAAAATGGGAAAATCGAAAAACTTAAAAACTGAACAGACGAAAACTTGAAATTCTAAACTGATAATTCGGGAAAATTTGAAAAAAACTAAAATATCGAAAAATTGTAAAATGAAAAATCTAAAAATTTGAAAATTGCAAAATAGAAAACCAGAAAATTCCAAAAATACAAAACCGGAGGAACGAAAAATTGCAAAATCGAAAAATTGACATTCGAAAACTAAAAAACTGAAAAAACAAAAATTTTAAAAATGAAAAATTGATAAATCGAAAAATGAAAAATTCTAAAAATTACAAAATTGAAAAATTGAAAAACCCAAAAATTAAAAATCTAGAAACTGAAAAATGGAAAAATTGGAGAATCCAGACTTTGAAAAATACAAAAATTGAAATAATTAACAAAATGTGCAATTAAAAATCAAGAACTTGAAAAGTCGGAAACTTAAAATTAGGAAAGTGGAAAGTCGAAAAAATAAAAAATTGAATAACCGGAAAACTGAAAAACTAAAAATTGAAAAGTAAAAAATAAAAAACTTGTAAAATCGCAAATTTAACCAACGAGAAATTGAAGAATTCAAAAGTTCAAAAGACGAAAACATGAAAATTCAAAGAATAAGAATTCGAAAACAATCAAAAAACTAAAAATTTGAAAAACTGGAAAAATCTAAAATTCCAAAATTGAAAAACAAGTAATTTAAAAATAGCAAAATCGAAATAACGAAAAATTGACATTCGAAAAGTGAAAAATTGAACAAACGAAAACGTGAAAATGTAGATTGAAAACTCGATAAAATGAAGACATGAAACATTGAAAAATTAAAATTCGAAAAATTGCAAAATTTAAAAAGATGAACAGTTAAAAACAAGAACTTTGAAAATTGAAAAAATGAATAATAGAAAGATGGAAAAATTCAAGTTGGGAAACTGGAAATTGGAAAATTGAAAAATCCAAAACTTCAAAAATTGAAAACTTGAAAGTTAAGATCAAAAACTCGAAAAAATGAAGTGAAAAATTGAAAAATCGGAAAACTGAAAAAAACAAAAATTGAAAAATTAAAATATCTAGAAACTGCAAAGTCTAAGATTTTAAAAATGAAAATTGAAAATTCAAAAAATTAAAATATCTAAAAAATTGAAAAATAAAAAAATTGCAGAATTGAAAAACAAAAAAATTCAAAAATTGCAGAAACGAAAGAAATAGAAAAACTGAGAAAACGAAAAATCGAAAAATTAAAATACATATCTAGAAACTGCAACACTTACTAAAATTTTAAAACGAAAAATTAAAATATCAAAAATATTGTAAAATGGAAAAATCAAAAAACTTTAAAATTGAAAAATCAAAAAATTGTTAAATGAAAAACAAAAAATTCAAAAATTGCAAAAACTGAAGAACGAAATAAAATAAATTGACATTCGAAAACTAAAAAATTGAACAAACGAAAACTTGAAAAATTCAAAATTGGGCAGTTGAAAAATCAAAAATTCGAAAAATTGCAAAATTGAAAATTTAAAAATGAAAAATCGAAAAATTAGAATATCTAAAAATTGTAAAATGGAATAAAACAGAAAATTCAAAAAATGCAAAACCGAAGGAACGAAAAATTGCGAAATCGAAAAATTGACATTCGAAAACTAATAAACTGAAGGAACGAAAATTTGAAAAATTGAAAACTCGAAAAAATGAAGTGGAAAATTAAAAAATCGAAAAATGAAAAATCGAACGAACGAAAAATCGTGAAATCTAAAAATTGACATTCGAAAAGTGAAAAATTGAACAAACGAAAACTTGAAAATGTAGATTAAAAACTCGAGAAAATGGAGACATGAAAAATTGAGAAATTAAAATACGAACAATTGCAAAAGTGAAAAATTGAATTCGAAAAATTGAAAATTTTAAAAAGATGAACTATTAAAAACAAGAACTTTGACAATTGAAAAAATGAATAATGGAAACATGGAACAATTAAAGTTGTGAAACTGGAAATTCAAGAATTGAAAAGACGGAAAATTGGAAAATCGAAAACTTGAAAATTAAGATCGAAAACTTGAAAAAGTGAAGTGAAAAATTGAAAAATCGAAATATGAAAAATTTTAAAAATTGCAAAACTGAACACTTGAAATCGAGAATTTGTAAAAACGAAAAATAGTAAAATCAAAAAATTGAAATATCTAGAAACTGCAAAATCTAAAATTTTAAAAACGAGAAATTAAAAAATCAAAAAATTGACAAGTTGAAAAAAGAAAACAAAAATTGCAAAAACGAAAGAAGGAAATAAAAGAAATTGACATTTGAAAACTGAAAAATTTTTAAAATGATATTAAAAAGCCAAAATTTGAAAAATTGATAAATTGAAAATACGAAAAATGAACATATGTATCTGAAAATTGTAAAGTGGAAAAATCTAAAAACGTAATAATTAAAAAAATAAATAAAATTGCAAATAGAAAGAAATGCAGAAAATTAAAAAAATGGAAAACCGAAGGAATGAACAAATGCGAACTCGAAAAATTGGAAAACTGAGAAATCTAAAAATCCTAAAATTGAACAATTGACATTCGAAAACTAAAAAACTGAAGAAACGAAAATTTGAAAAATTCAAAATTAAAGAATCAAGAACTTGAAAATTAAAATCGAAAACTCGAAAAAATGAAATGGAAAATTGAAACATCGAAAAATGAAAAATTCTAAAAATTGTGAAGTTGAAAACTTGAAATCGAAAGTTTGTAAAATCGAAAAACCGAAGGAATAAAAAATTCAGAAACCGAAAAATTGAAAATCTAGAACCTGAGAAATGAAAAATTGGAAAATCGAGGAATTGAAAAAATTGAAAATTTTAAATCAAAACTTTGAAAAATTTAAGAAATTGAAATATTTTTAGTCAAGAACTTGGACAACTGAAAAATCCTAAAATCGAACAAACGAAATATTGAAAAATTCAAAAGTCGAAAATTTAAAAATCAAAACTGAAAATCCGAAAAAATGTAGTGAAACATTGAAAAATAGAAAAATAAAACGAAAAATTGAAAAACCAAAAAATCAAAAATTAGAACTAAAAAACCGTTGAAAAAAAAAAGCATTGAAAAATTTAAAAACGAAAAATTAAAAGTTGAAAAATTCAAAATTAAAAAATCAAAAACTTGAAAATTAGAGTCGAAAACTCGAAAAAATGAAATGAAAAATTGATAAATCGAAAAATGAAAAATGCTGAAAATTATAAAATTGAAAAACCCAAAAATTGAAAATCTAGAAACTGAAAAATGGAAAAATTAGAGAATCCAGACTTTGAAAAATACAAAAATTGAAAAAATTAAGAGAATGTACAATTAAAATCAAGAACTTGAAAAGTCGGAAACTTAAAATTAGGAAAGTGGAAAGTCGAAAAAGTGAAAAATTGAATAACCGGAAAACTGAAAAACTAAAAATTGAAAAGCAAAAAGTTAAAAACTTGTAAAAACGTAAATTTAACCAACGAGAAATTGAAGAATTCAAAAGTTCAAAAAAAAGAACTTGAAAATTCAAAGAAGAGAATTCGAAAAAATTGAAAACAAAAAAGTGAAAAGTCGAAAATTTGAAAAATCAATAAATTAAAATATCCAAAAATTGTAAAATGAAAAAAAACCGGAAAATTGAAAGAACAAAAAATCGTGAAATGGAAAAATTGACATTCGAAAAGTGAAAAATTGCACAAACGAAAACTTGAAAATGTAGAGACATGAAATGGAGACATGAAACATTGAAAAATTAGAATTCAAAAAATTGCAAAAGTGAGAAATTGAAATCGAAAAAT